TTAAGAATTAAAATTCGTATTTATATTAAATTTATACTATTTGACTTTCTTTTATTCTCTTCATTTTAATTAATTAATTAATTAATTAATTAATTAGCTCATGCTAACATATATTTTAAGTTTATTATTACTATTATTATTTTTATCGATTAATACTTCAAAAAGTTTTAATCTTTTGATTTTTCTTCCCTTCTGTTTGTTTATTTATTTTTTCTCTCTCTTTCTCTTTCTCTTTCTCTCTCTCTTTTTTTTTTTAAGGTAATTTTGAAGATGGTGAAATAGGTGGTGCGGTAGGACAAATGCTCGTACATTTCTCTATTGAAGAAAATCGACAGGCCGGTAAAGCTGTCGCACGTATCGCTGCACAACTCCTCAATTTTGATACCGCAAACGTTTTTCATCAGGTTACATAAATAAATAAATAAGTAAATAAATAAATAAGTGAATAAATAAATAAATAAGTGAATAAATAAATAAATGAATAAGTGAATAAATAAATAAATAAATAAGTAAATAAATAAATAAGTGAATAAATAAATAAATAAGTGAATAAATAAATAAATAAGTGAATAAATAAATAAATAAATAAATAAGTAAATAAATAAATAAATAAATAAATAAGTGAATAAATAAATAAGTAAATAAGTGAATAAATAAATAAATAAATAAGGGAATAAATAAATAAAATTTATTTTAAATATCAAAAATATTATTTCCGATTTTGTTTCTTTTTTTTTCTTTCTTATTTCGGCTGATTGTTATTATTTATCCAATCAATTAAATTTATTCAAATCTTTTTGAATTCAAACACAAATATTCGTATTTGATAATAATAATGATAATAATAATAGTATCTTATAAATTTTATTTCTCATAAAATTTAAAATTGTTAAAATAATATTAGAAATGTATGTACTTCCTTGGTTTTTTTTTTTTTTTTCTTACAAAATTATAATTTGTTTATTATAAAATGAAATTGAATTTTCCATTACCATTGTTAAAATATTTTTTTCAGGGTATTACAGTTGCATTAATGCACTACTTTGAATGCAGGGATCGTTTACGTATCGATCATTTTCGGGTTTGGATTACTTTCCTCAATTTTGTTTCCGATTTATATGCTAGTGTTGGCTACATTTATGAAGGTTTTTCATTTTTTTTTTTATTTATTTTACCTAAATTTATTTTCAGAATTTAAATTAAATTTAGGTGAAAAAGGAAAAGGAAATGAAATAAATTACAAATATTGTGCATATACTATTGTTATTCTTTCTTCTTTTTTTTTTTTTTATTTCGAAGAAGTAAATTAATTAAATGAGAAAATTGAAAAGGTAATTGTTTTTAGTTTGAGCTATAAAAATTTTTGAAATTATTAAAATAAATTATTGTAAATGGAAGAACTTTTATTTTTGTTAAAAATTACACTTTTCTTATTGAATAGCTAACATTAATGTAATTGTTGATGTATCAGTTTTATTTCTTTATTGAAAAGATTTTAAATTATATTTTATGCAAAGAAAAAATTGAAATTATAACTTAAAATAATACAATATCATTTAATTAGATAATTAGATGAATTATGTCATTTTTTTTACATTTGCTTCAAATTACAATGCATAGAACTGAAAGTTTAAAATTAAATTTAATTAAAATCCAAGTCATTCTTTTTTTTTATTCGAGTCGTGTTCACTTCAATATTTTATTTATAGTTATTGCAGGAGAACTTGTCGATCTTGTTTTTCGTATTTTTGGCTATTTGCTCAAAGCGCCTATTCTTGACACATTAAAAATTGAAGAGGTTAATAACAGTCTTTTTTAAGTGTTTCCTTTTTTTTTCCTTTTTTTTTTTTTTTTTTTTTTTTTTAAAGAAAAACTGTTCTGTAATACTTTATAATAGTTAGAATTTCATTTCTAAAAATTTCATCAAAAAATCAAATTTTTTAATCTGGAAAGATTTTTATCAAAAAAAGCAATTCAAATATGATGCTGAATGTGAGAGGAAAAAGTTGGAGGAAAAGTTGACGAAAATAAAATGAAACAATAAACGAATGCAGAAATTGAAGAAATTTGGAGAAATTTTGCAAAATAAAAATATTTTCCATTTTTCAATTTTTATTATTTAATTTGTTTGCTTCTTGCAAATACAATTTTGTAACAATTAAATGTAGAAATTTGAGCAAATAAAGTTGAAAATTGTTGGTTTAAATTTCAGAGTGAGGTAAAAATTCTAAAAAAGCCTGAAAAGTAAATTTACTTTTTAAATGTATAATTAATAATATGTTATTTCATATGGAAAAAGTTTATAGGAAAATAAAAACGGAATATATAATTTCAAAAGGTTATAATTTAGATAAATATGTGTTAGATGTAAATTAGTTGTTTGTATCAAATTTTTTCCTTTAAAATTATTTAAAAAAAGTTTAATTATAATCGTAAATGAAATCGATCAAAAGAAAAAGTAAAATTTGAAAAAAAAACTTCATGCAGAATTAATTTTATAATTTAATGTGTTTGCTGTTATAGTTGGAAAGTTTAATTGGTTGTTTGCTCAGTGTTGGCTATGACCTTGAACGACAATGTCCTGAACAGTTGGCGGTCTTGAAGGATCTCATCCGAGATGCTTTTATTGAGGTATATTTTTAGATTTTATTCACTGATATATTATCATAATGCTTGTTTAATTCTTAATTCATTAATTATCACAATTCATTAATATAATTTTCTATAATTATCACAGGAAATTATAATTAATAGGAACAATAATTTTAAAAATGTTTAATTTGAGATTTTTTTTTTTTAACAAATTGACATAATTATTGAAAGTAATCCACTTGTTATACGGTTTATGATTTTATGATGATTTATGATCAGATGATATTTATATAAGAGATAAATTTTTAATCAATATTCTTCATATTAATTCAGTAATTTTGCATTTCATATAATTATGTTGTATGGACAGGTACAAGAACCATGGGCACGTAAAATGATACTTTTATTAATGGAACTGGGAGCAAGCGGATGGAAACTTCCACCTGAAGCAAATGAATATTACTTTCAACATACCAGTTCATAAGTGATGTATCAAGTTATATCATTCGTTATCATTTGTTATCATTCTGTAGATTTTTTTGATAGTAACAACTCAATAATGGGAAAAGCATTAATTAACAGATGCATCATCGTTTTGCATGTCTTTTTTGTTTTGTTTTGTTTCTTTATTTTTCATTTTTCCATCCTTAATGGTGGTTATTGATCAGAAATTTATGAATTATATTTTATGAAAAACAAAGTATAATTGTGTCTTATTGGGTAGGAATTATGATTTCATTTTGAAAATCAAAATTTATCGTTTCATTCTTAAAAGAAGAAATTATGATTTTGCTTTGATAAGTAGAATTATATTTTTGTTTCGACAAAGTTATCAATTGGATGGAAAAGTATAAATGGTTGCAGCTCAAATTATTGCTATTTTTACGTGCCTTATTATTTATTTATTTATTATTATTATTATTTACTTTGTAAATAATACGATTGCATGAGTAACATATTATGTCAACAAATAATTTAACGACAATAATAGTAATAATAATAATAAAGAATATTTTATCATTTTCTATATCGTTTATTCTAATTGATAGCAACGTTGAATCTATTGCTATCATTGCTATCATTGCTATTATTGTGTTATTGTAACAGTAAAATAGTGATGGAAGTAGACGGTATAATAATTTAATTAATGATAGAATATTAATATTTAGTTCATATATTTATGCCTATGAACTAGTCATTTAATAATCATTATTTTGTTGTATTTGTAATAAAAAACATTATTGTATGCAATAACATATAACTGTTTTATTTGTCGTGTAAAATTTCAAAGATAAACAAAATAACAACAAAATCTTTTTCTTTTATTAATATTCATTTTATCGTCATTTTATTCATTTATTTTTTGCCTTTTTGTGATGATATTTTGGTCGATGAAATGTAATTTCATTTTGTAATGTTATTTGTTAAAGGGATGGCAGTTATTATTATAATTTTTTTAATGCTTTCGAATTTTCAATAATATCAGCCAAAAATTGACAATGGTTTATGTTATGATTTGGATTGTAATTATTTGTAATTATCATTAAGTAAGGACTACATCTACTGGCTAATTAATTAATTAGCTGATATACACTTGTTTATTGTGTTAAGATTTAAATTCAGATTTAGATTTAATTTGAATTTAAATTCATGTTGTGGAAAGCAAAAAAAAAAAGCAAAACAAAACACTCATATTATAATTGTGGTGCTATTAAAAATATTTACTTCCGTGCCTTCCTATTACTAATCATTTCTGTTCATTTTTAATTTTCATTATCATTGTAATATAAAGAGAATTATCTAATTGTCTCTTCTTTGCATTTTATACAATATTTAATAATCCGGAAATTAAAATCAATAAATGCAAAAATTAAATGAGAAATCAATTCGAGAATCAATCAGCAGTAACAAAATATTATGCGTCTCAGCGCTACGCACAATTTTTTTTTTCCTGTTTTTTGTTTTTGTCCGGAAATATCATTATGATATTTGGAAATTAATCATAAACGGAATGGAAAGAAGAGGTTGTACTAGTGAGAGAGAGAAAAAAGGTATGCAAACCGGTTAGTGACAAAGTATATTTCCACTTTCCGGAAATTACGTTGCAGAAATACTCTATGCAACGTGATGCAACGTTTTGCGAGTTCTTAAATGAATGAAATTGCCTGTTATCTTCGATCTAACCGGTTGGTTTAGAAGTTTGACTTAATCGGTGGATTTAGAAATTCGTAACACGTTTTATGTCACGTTATATTGATTATTTAACACTTGATGAGTCATTTTAATACATTATTTATTCATTTACTCAAAATTACTCAGAGCTAAATTATTCGATGGTTAATTACAGTTCACTTTGTTTTTGTCTTTTTAAATTAGCTTGATTTATTTGTTTAGCAGCTTTGGAAAATATGAATGATAAAAGCATAAATCTTGGAAAACGAAAAGCATTTGATGTTGTTGATGCTAATATGGAAAGTAAGTTCTTACATTTACTTTATATTTTTCATTGTATTTAAGTTAATTTCGTATTATAGATTTGCTTTATCCTTAGTAAAATATTACATTTTCGGTTTTGTTGTATTCTTTGCAGCATAAAGTGTGCATTTCTGTGCCGTGTTATTAGCGGTACGACATCTCCGATTTTTGTTACGCTTGGTGATACCGTCTATATTTCTGGTTTTTATCGTGTTCTTGGCATTGTTAAGTAAGTTTAAGGTACAAAATAACCTGCACATAATAGGTAATTGAGAAATTTCCAGTGAATGAGTAATTAGGAAATTTCCAATTTGAATTATTCCATTTTCTTTATGGGATAACTCATTCTGTTGGAGGATTACATTTTTTTTTTTTTTTTGTCATATCAGTAAAAATTCGCAAAATTCCATCATAAATGAAGAATTCATTTTTTATTTATGATTGATAAATGCAAAAAGCTATTGATAAAGCAAATCTAATAATCACTTATCTTTTGGAAACTTATATAGCATTAAAGCATTTTATTGAAGCTAAGAGGATATATTTTGTTTTTTGTATTGTTGTCATTAGATACTTCCACTACTCACAACGTCATGTTTCTTTTTTTTTTTTTTTTTTTTACTATTTATTATCTGAAAAACTTGCTATTATATAATTTGAAAAAAAAAATGCAAGTTAAGTAAAGTATAGCTGCCTTATTTCTCAATCTTTTTCCTTGAAAATAAAAGTTAAAAGTAGGGTTAAATGTTCCAAGAAAAAAAAAAAAAGGATTGTAAGCCGACTGATGAGTATATTATGTAGTAAATGTATTAAATTATAACAATTATATAAGGATTTTTACTTGCAGCTAAAGTAATGACATTTATAGTCTTCAAAAAATTTACTGAATTTATGATATTTTATTATCATAATTCCACTTCTATGCTTATCAACTATCCATTAAATGATCAATGGATTGAAGCAAAAAATTTATCTTTGATGGTAAATTTTGAAATGTTTTTTATAAGAAATCTTTTAAAATTTCCTAAATGAAACTTATTGAAATATTGTGAACGAAAGAAAAAAAGTTACTTGTGTCATTTATTACCGTGGAAAACGGTTGCAGTATATCTGTTACCATGAATAGCTGCTCTTTCCATCTAAATTGAAAAGTACTTGCATTATTATCGATTATTTTCAATGCTTGTTTACAGCTAATGGTAGGTGCAATTCAAAATTGGACATTACTTCACTTCTAATGCAAGTTACACAAATTACGGCCCTATTAATAACTCTTTAATTTGGCAGTATTTAATATTTCCCTTTTCCTTTTCAAAAACTTATTTCAATGAAAAATTACTCAAGTGGATAAAGTGTTCAAAGATTAAGAAGATAAAAAAATTTTTTAAGGCGTGAGGTGTTATTGAAAAGTCAGCTTGATTCATTAATGTCAAATGTACTATCATTTGGTAGTGTGGTTGATGAAGAAATATTTTGATATGAATATTTTATTATTATTATTATAGATTTGTAAAGACTGAACAGCATAAAAATGAAATGAATAAATCATAATTTGTATTTCTGGCAAAAAAGAAAAAAAAAAACTTTGATTTCTACGCAAAGAGCGTTTTCAGTCCTTGTAAATTTAACGATTTATCATTATTGCATTCTGCATCTTTTTTTCTCCAAATATCTTTTTCATAATTTCTGGGAGCTTTTTTCTTTTTTAGAAATGTGAAAGTTGCTCATTTAAAGTGTAAATGATTTCTTTTAAAAAAGAAGCATTTTGCAACTTGACATGCTTTTTTTTTTTTTGTGAGAAAATTGTTTTTTAATTATTCGTTATTGTTTTAGAAAGAATGCTTCATCCTCAAAAATTGGAGCAACAAAATTACGAGACGTTCAATAAGGCATATCTTAAATCAAAACAACTTGTAACAGAAGGTGTTTCAATAGATGAAATATCAAGTAATAACGGTAAGAAATTTGCATACATATTTGTTTTCAATTTCTTTTTTTTTTTTTTGAAAGTAAACTTTTTACCACTACTATACCTTGTCTGTGAATGGGTTAATCATTTTTGTGTGTAAGCACCGACAAATAAAACAGTGATCAAAATGTCAACATAGTATTCTTTAACCAAGAAATAAACAAGAGATCAGATTTAGAAGTAATTTTTGCTTATTTTATACAAGTATAAAATAACTAGATCTTGAATTTGAAATTTTTACACCTTTTTATATGCAAAAGGATTATTTTGTACACATTTTATTATTGATTCGATAAATCGATTATATTCAAATGTTCTGAGTGGAGTAAATCCAATTTTAATTCATTTTTCAGACGAACAGAGGAAGCGGATAGCAATGGAAAAATACCGTATGGGTATTGAGTATTTTGAGAAAGCTTTGAAAATATCACCAGATAAAGTATATCCTGAGAAACGAAGCGAAGTTATAACGCATCGTGAAGCAATGAAACGAAATTTAGAAGCAACAAAGGGAAGACTTAGTGATCTGGGTAAGCTTAAAGTTGTGATTATCGTTTTTAACAATTAATGCTTATGTTTATGAGTTTTAAATAATTCTATGCCGATTTTCTTTTTTAATTTTAATATAGGTTATTTGCTTGTCAAATGAGGGCTCCCTAAGCGATGGTGTTGAATGATTTTTTTTTATCCTTTTATTGTTTAAATAGTTTAGTGCATATAAAATTTTATTTGGTGTTTTTCACTGTAACCATTTAATTCTGTTCATAATCAAAAATTTATTTTTTTTTTTTTCATTCAGAAAAAATGTTCCCATCGAAAGGAAATCGAAATCTACAGCATAGACCTGTTCAGTTTGTGTCACCTTCAATTAGTAAACCACAAACTGCCCAACTATCCAGTAGGCCAATCAGCTCCGAAAAGAAAAACATCAATTATTCAGTGAGTTATTCATATTTTTGGAGAATTTGGAGATTTGTTTGAGAAAAATTTGTAGAAATTGAGATGAGTAATTACAGTTTAATTAGAAAGGTACAGCCTGATATAATAGGAAGAGTACTTCTCAAATTTTATCAAAACGAAGGAAGGAGTAAACAAGGAACAAGTGATAAAATTAATGTTACACTAGATATTTGTTGTATATAGAATGCTTTTTTTACAAGGTGAGAAGCAGATAAATAAAATTACCAAAAACTATTTGGAAATATAAAAGATGAAAATCTTTTGTGTACGATAGTTTTCACTTTTTATTCAAAAAATTTTGTGGCGTATTCTTCCATTTTTTCAGCTTCATATGGTTTTTTTTTTTTGTTAGTATCGCACCATTCATTGATTTGAAATGCTTAAATCAATAAGGAACTTTGCTTCATTGAAATTTTGCTCCACTTTCCAGAATGCTCGTACTCGGAGCAATCTCCTAAAAGGCGTCGATGACAAATTTGGTGGTCCGCTGCTAAATGAAATTTTGAATCAAGATGACGTAAAGATGAGCGACATTATAGGCGCTGAAACAGCCAAACGTGCCCTGGAAGAAACAGTTATTTTACCGACTGTTAATCCATCCTTATTTTCTGGTCTTCGTCAACCTGCGCAGGGAATTTTACTATTTGGTCCGCCAGGAAACGGCAAAACATTACTGGTATATTTATTCTGACACAGTTTTTAATTTATTTTTGCCTAAAATTTAAAAATTGTAGATATATTCTATCAATCTACACATGTTACATTTTTCATTATAAATTATAATGTAGAGCTATATATTTGGATTTTCTGAATTTTTTTTAGATTAGATATGCTTTCGAATTTTAGGCTCGTGCTGTAGCTGGAGAATGTGGTTCAACGATGTTCCTGAATGTTTCAGCAGCTTCACTAACTTCAAAATGGGTTGGTGATGCTGAAAAAATTGTCCGCGCTTTATTTCAAATTGCTCGTAATGGGCAACCAACAATCATATTCATCGATGAAATTGACTCCATTTTGTGTGAACGTAATGAGAAGGAAACTGAGGTTTGTTCAACATATTTCTGTAATAATTATAAGTTTTATATACGTCAATCTAAATTTAGCTTTTGTCATATTGGATTCAGAATAACTTTACCCTGAACTTTTGAAATCCCTTTCCATTTCAGGTTTCAAGACGTATGAAAACGGAATTTCTAATTCAAATGGATGGTATGTTATCGTCAAAAGATGATCGTTTACTGGTGATTGGTGCAACAAATCGCCCTGAAGAGCTCGATTCAGCCATTCTACGCCGATTTCCAAAACGAATTCTCATTGATGTACCAAATGCAGCAGCACGCCTTAAACTAATCATGTCATTGCTCGAGAAAACGAAAACTTCATTTGACCTCGGTCTTACACAAAGGCAGTAAGTCCCCAAAATTAGGTTTTAAATAAAATAGCTTGTTACTTCCATTATCTAAAGTTAGTTTTGCATTTAGTTAACCCCTACTTTTGCCTATTACTGCGTCATTTTCAGTGAAAGTTCTAAACTATACTCTTTTCGTATCTCGAAAGCAATTTTGATTATTTACAATTTGATCCCTCTAGTTGATAAAGGATGTTAGGAGTAGATTTTTGCTAAAGCACTGAAAACTTTTTCTATAAGCTATAAGCGATTTTTTATTTGTATATTTATTTATCATAAATTTTAATGATGCAATAATATGATGAGCAGCATATAATGAAATAATCAAACTCGTTATTTGCTTACCATCTTTGAAAGAAAAGTTTTATCAGAATTGTAGAATTACTAAGTTATGTTAACAGACACTGCTACATTACAAGTGTCATAAATACCAAATTTTGTTAAATCAGTCATGTAAGTGGTGCCGGATTTTCAGAATCCTTGCAGAATGGACGCATGGATACTCCAATTCGGACTTGGTTGCTCTTTGTCGTGAAGCTGCGATGGTGCCAATTCGTGACCTATCACGTAAGGATATAAAAAATTTAGTCAGTACGGAACTTCGGCCGATAACACTACGTGATTTTGAGATTGCAATGAAAGCTATCAAACCTTCAACAAATGAACGGATGTTGCAGAAGTTACGGAAATATGCAGCAACAGCTGGGCAGTCTGACTGAAGTGACATTCATGTAAAAATATACAACTTATCGGTCTTTTTTTTTTCTGACTTCTAATCATTTTTCAATCTTTCACTATATTTTGTTTTAATCTTCGTGTTTTTGTAGTATGTATGTAGCTATTACTTACCGGTTCCTTACCTATTCAAGTATTTTTAACTGGAGAGTTGACGAATTGATAAACGGTCTTATTTGTGGAAGGGAATTAATTTCACTCAGATATGCTTCTGACAGTGGAAAAAAAGAAGATGGGAAATTTGTAGCTGAATGTCATTCTTAGCGAGAAGTTTGCGGATAAAAAAGAAAAATGCGAAAACGTTCCATTAGGCCTGTTCTTATAATAGTCTTTAACGATAAGGTTTTTGGGAGAAGGCTTCTAAGACTTTCTCAAAATTACTTTCACCAAAAAAAAAAAAAAGAAAAAAATGTTTTATTACTTTTGGATTCGGAATTTGCTGTGATTTGTTCATATTGACATTTGGTAATACTCGTAAAATCATGTTGACACTGTTTCCTATTTACTGTACTCGTTTCTTTGTGATTAAAAAAAAAGTCGAGATTAGTTACCAACAAATTTATTATAAAAGACAGAAACTTTCCCAACACATTTCATCTTTTTTGATTCTAAATTAGTTGCAATTTAATACCAATTAATATCCACAACCATTTATTTAATGATATATAGAAGACATCATGCGTAAATCTTTACCTAACATTAGTAAGAAATTTTAAATTCAACCCTTTTTTCATTTTGAAAAGGAAACTTTCACATATAAATATGTCCTAAATCTAATACTGTATTTTCCTCCAATAATTGTCCTACATTTAAATCAGTAAACATAGTCATTTCATACTTCTCCAGCATCATATGGGTAATAAATCTGCATTTTACTAGAAAATAAAACAAAATTTCGAGAAAAGTGCTCTTATTTTTCCTTTTCACCTAAAAATTTCATTTTTAACATGACAATGAAATGCAAAAATGCAAAAGAATAATGCAATTATCTTTATCAAAATTATGAGCATGAAAAAGAAACAGAAACGTTCAATACACAAAATGATACAGGGAACAAAAAAGGAACGAAACAAGATATTTTTACATATTTTTTTTTTTCTTCCTCTCAAATATAATATCATTTAGCGTCAGAGCTAAGCTTTCGTTTACATCCTACGCGGTTTTTCTTATCAGTCCATTCAATATCATTGATATGCTTTAACAATTCTTCTTTACTTATCATCCATTCACTCTATAACAAATTTGTATCATTCGTATGGAACTTCGAGATGACTTCTATTTCATTCAAACGAATTTCATAAATTACAAATTAAAAATACAACCAAACATGCTGACAAATTAGAGGAAGAAATTTGAAAGAATTAACTTGTACTCCGTTTTAATTATTTTCATCAAGTGTAAAATTTTTAGTATTAATCAATTCATTACATCCAAAAATACTTGATGTAAATATAATTTATTAAGACTAAAATATCTGGCACAATAGAAAATAAAAATCAAACATACTTCAATCCATATTTGGAAAAGATAGTCAAGAATTTGCTTAACATGTGGTCCAGGTGAAATATTGTTATGCATCAAGTCAATCCCACCAATTGGAAATGTTGGCATTTCCCAAATACTCAATTCATTGATCAGCTCATCATTAACCATTGCATATTTTGCCAATTCAATTACTTTCTCTCGACTTGTTTGAATTTTTTTTCCTGGAATTAAAATGAAAATCCATTCATATTCGTCTTATTCATTAACTCAATGTTAACCATAGAAACATCCATATGCAACTTATCTTAAAAATCATAAATCTCAGAATAAAGGAAAAAGAAAAAATCACTTGTAAACTTGTGCAATCGTTCTTCAATCAACAAGATATTTTTGAAAAATAAAATTGAATTGACATTCTTCTCTGCTTCATCGCGATGTTCCACAATAAATTCGGTTAGCGTTTTCTCAGCATAAGATAACTTACATCTAAACGAAATATGCATCCGCTGTAAAATTTGTTTTATTGAAAAATTATTAAATTTTACTTTTTTTCATGATGATAATACTTTGGTCAAGTCAATAACAGAAGAAAAGAAGACGAAGACTTTTTAGTCACATATATTATTGTGAACTGAATTAAAATATATGTAAATTATAAAATTTATTAGATTGATTAAGTTAGAACGAATTTACAATTACACGTAAATTCGGTAACTTAATAAAGTACTCCATAAAAAGAAGTGGTTAAAATTATACAGATAATACTGCTATATGTTATGCATAGGTATTGATATTTCAATTTTGTCAATTAATCGAACGGATGAGTAGATTTTACCCAGTTTAGACTAAATTTTAATTATTACATTGAATTTATTGATAAATTTAATTTTAGTGATTAACTTATCCTAAAGTAATTCTTGCACTTTTTAAAAAAAAAAATCAAGTTAATCTAGAAAATGAATAACCACCTCCTGTGAAATATTTCAATTTGTCCCATTTCAGTAAATAATGATGATAATAATGTCATTGCTTCTATTTTTGGATAATAACGCTTATGCAATTTGCAAAAGTAAACTGTATCCGCTTTTTCCGGAAGTCCCAACAAGGAAGCTAAGTTACATCGCTTTAGCATCGTTGTTAATACAGCACCACCCAACCGGCCAACGCATATTTTCTTTAATTCCATCCAAATTCGTTCACCACTTATATCCTAGAAAAAAAAATCATTATTAATTCCATCAAAATTTCTTCTGCAGTATTTCGCAGTACTAGCTATAAATGGAAATTATTAGGAAAAGTAATTAATAAATGTGACCGTTCATTGCTAGAAATAACGAAGAATTCAGCAATAATTTCCATCTATAAGTTGGTACTACAAAATAATACATATGAAATGATGAATAATGTATTTGAAAAAAAAAATATCATAATTAAATTCAAGTTTTCACAAATTCTCTATTTTTCTTCCTGATTTTTTTTTTTTTTTCTCACATGACCATTTTAACAAGATCGACAGAATATCCATTAAAAGCAATAAACTGACTTTCAGGCCATTTCTATTCGAAATGATAGCATCCAGTGTTGCTTTGTCGTGCATTTCACCATCTATGGCCAATCGACCATAAAAACGGAAATATCGTAATATCCTCAAATAGTCTTCCTAGAAACAGTCATCATTTATTATGAGATGATCTAGTGAATGAATAGTTTGTACTAAAGATTTGACACAGAAGTTGTAAAGAAGACAGAGAAAAACGAGTCAAGCCAATTTGAAGACTGCAAAAAAAAAAAACCTGAATCCTTTGATTTGCATCGCCTACAAAAACAATTTTCCGTTCTTCTAGATCTTTTATTCCACCGAAATAATCAATAACGGTGCCATCCAAATCTTTAAAAAAAGACACGCTATATTGCAATTGAAAATTTAAAAAATGAATAATTTTTAACTAATGGAAAATTAAGAAGAGAAACTTAAAGGAAATTTTTTTAGAAATAAATTCGCATTGTAGGAAAATGTCCCTTAAATAAATAAACAATTAACTTACCTAGGAAAAGTGAATTAACCGTCAAGTCACGTCTATTTGCATCTAGCTGCCAATTAGTTGTGAATTCAATCTTTGCTCGACGTCCATCACAAACAGTATCAATCCTGAAATAAGTATGGTACTTGATTCTAAATCAAGAATCCACAAAACGATCAGAATATGAGAGAGACAAAATTTTTTTTTTAATAAAATAGTTGTGAAAATTTATAGCATGAATCCTCAAGCATATTTACATTACAATTACTCTCATCACTGTTCAAAATGAATAATGTAACAAAAATTAACATGCCTTAAAGTTGTAATTTCAAAATTTTCCTTATCATCAATACGACAAGTAATCGTTCCATGTTCTTCACCATTTTTATTCAACATTCGGATACCTTCGCGAAGAAATAACTCCTGAAATTAAATTATTTCAATAAAAGCATTATCAGCTAATAAAATAGGTCGATGTAAATATATGACAAAATCCTGTATGATTTTGAACTTAAATTTCTCATACATCACTAATTCTTAATTTCAAATTTTTCCATTCTCTATTTACATTGATCCTATAAAGTCCCATTTTTAGTTCCATTATTCAAAGTTCCATTTCACAGAACTACCGCATAAATAATACATTAAAAATCTAATCGTTCTTATTTAACATCGCTGATAATTTAATCATTTTTTCAAAATTAGCACTACTGACAATTTTATTGTTATTCATAATCACTGACAAATTGACCTTCATTTTTTCTGGCGTTGCATTTGTAGCAAAATCAATATCACATGGTTTTATGCCCATTAAAAGATCGCGAACTGCACCACCAGCCATACTGTAAAAAAAAAAAAAGAAAGAGATAAAAATAAAAAGAAAAGATGCAATACAAAATTTTAAAATACCAAAAAAAGAAATTAAAATGACTAAAATTACATATTATATGCTTTTTCTTAGCGTATAAAATTAATTTCTACCAAACATCTTTCTCACTGATACAAATATTTATTTGTTACTCAAATAAACTCCTATTATTATAAATATTATAAGCTACTGAATACAAATGCAATAAAATGCTAGCATAGCTATCTGAACTAATCGTGCATATAACTAAAATTGAACTTTCTTTCTTTTTTCCTGTCAACAAAAAGACAATGACTTAAAGCATAAAGTAGATATAATATAAATATGAAATATTTTAGAATGTGGAAAATTATTCTTCTTGAATTATCACACTACGATTACTACTACTATACTACTGTTATAATAATATGATATTTTCAACTGCAATTAATACATACCGCAATTGAAAATCATTCTTCTTGAATAGATCATTAAGTTTAATAAGTTCAGGTGTAAAAAGTGCCTTAAATTGAGGCGTATCAATTTTTTGAACAATCGGTACGATAGGTTCAGCAAACATTTTTGGAACGATTAATTGTTTGCCACTGATATTTCGAATTTGTAATAACAA